CACCTATGGGTCACCCTTGGGGTCACTTTGGGGCACCTTTGGGACACTTTGGGGTCACCTTGGGGACGTCTTTGGGTCACCTTGGGGACACCTTTGGGTCACCTTCTGGTCACCTTTGTTGTCACCTTGGGGGCACCTTTGGGGTCACCTTTAGGGATGCCTTGGGGTCACCTTCTGGTCACCTTTGTGGTCACCTTGGGGGCGCCTTTGGGGTCACTTTGGGGACACCTTTGGGTCACCTTCTGGTCACCTTTGTTGTCACCTTGGGGCGCCGTTGGGGTCACTTTGGGGACACCTTTGTGGTCACCTTCTGGTCACCTTTGTGGTCACCTTGGGGGCGCCTTGGGGGGAAACTTTGGGGCACCTTCGAGTCACCTATGGGTCACCCTTGGGGTCACTTTGGGGCGCCTTTGGGGTCACCTTGGGGACATCTTTGGGTCACCTTGGGGACATCTTTGGGTCACCTTGAGAGGTGCCTTTGGGGGCACCTTCGAGTCACCTTCAGGGTCACTTTGGGGCCACCTTTGGGTCACCTTCAGTCACCCTCAGGGTCACCTTTGTGGTCACCTTGGGGGCGCCTTTGGGGTCACCTTTGGGGGGCCTTTGGGGGACACCCTTGGGGTCACTTTGGGAATGCCTTTGGGGTCACCTTCAAGTCACCCTTGGGGTCACCTTGGTGGTCACCTTGGGGCACCTTCAAGTCACCTATAGGTCACCCTCGGGGTCATTTTGGGGGCGCCTTTGGGTCACCTTGAGGGCACCTTTGGGGGCAAATTTGGGGTCACTTTGGGGGACCTTCATGTCACCCTTGGGGTCACCTTTGTGGTCACTTTGGGGGCACCTTCAGGTCACCCTCGGGGTCACTTTGGGGGCACCTTTGGGTCACCTTCAGGGTCACTTTGTGGTCACCTTTGGGGTCACCTTCAGGTCATTCTAGGGGTCACTTTGGGGCACCTTTGGGTCACCCTCAGGGTCACTTTGGGGGCACCTCTGGGGACACCTTTGGGTCATCCTCAGGGTCACTTTGGGGGCACCTCGAGGTCACCCTCAGGGTCACTCTGGGGGTGCTTTTGGGGTCACCTCGGAGTCACCTTTGAGGTCACCTTTGGGGTCATCCTTGTGGTTGCCCTTGGGGACACCTTCAGGGTCACCTTTGAGGTCACCTCAGGATCACCTTGGGGGCAACTTTGGAGTCACCCTTGGTGT